TAGTTTAATAGTATAAATATCTGTAGTTCTCACACAATTGCTGTAGATATCAGTTACACTGTAAGCCACGAGGGGCAAAGGCTGAAGCTTTCTGCCCACTGTGGGAACACATGAGTGAGAGATGTGCATTGCTTCTTATTTGTCCTTCCTCTTCCTGTCTCTTTTTTTTCTTTAATTCTGAGAAAAAAAAAAAAACCCAAACTGATTCTCCTGGTCTAGTTTAACTTGTTGTAACTGGTTTTATTGACCAGCAGTGCTGGTCAATAAAAATTATTTTATTTTATTTTATTTTATTTTATTTTATTTTATTTTATTTTATTTTATTTTATTTTATTTTATTTTATTTTATTTTGCAGCAAAGTTTTATGTGGTGCAAAAGGCGTGTTCTGTCTGTGGAGTTCAGTTTTAAAATAGAAAGTGTTTAGTCTGCCATCTAGTGGCCGCTAATATTTTTACACACCAGGCCGTTTAGCGTCTGCTTCATTTCGAGCAAATCCAGCTGCTTAACCACAGGACAAGCAGCTTAAACAAATGTTAACAGTGTACATTTGTTGGCACGGTATGTTTTCTTCGTTTATTTTATATCATACAATATACTGCCCTGAATGAACCTCGTGTTCCGGCTGGGGTCTTGTTGTTTTAATAGCTCAAAAACATAAGCCTACACTCTAAAAAATGCTGGGTTGTTTTAACCCAACTTTGGGTCAAATATGGACTAACCCAGCCGTTGGGTTAAATTTTTACATTACATTTTTAACCCAGCATTTTGGGTTTGTCCATATTTGACCCAAAATTGGGTTAAAACAACCCAGCATTTTTTAGAGTGTACACTCTAAAAAATGCTGGGTTGTTTTAACCCAATTTTGGGTAAAATATGGACAAACCCAGCCATTGGGTTAAAAATATAATTTAAAAATGTAAGCCAATGGCTGGGTTTGTCCATATTTTACCCAAAATTGGGTTAAAACAACACAGCATTTTTTAGAGTGTATACACTCTAAAAAATGCTGGGTTGTTTTAACCCAATTTTGGGTCAAATATGGACAAACCCAAAATGCTGGGTTAAAAATGTAATGTAAAAATTTAACCCAACGGCTGGGTTAGTCCATATTTGACCCAAAGTTGGGTTAAAACAACCCAGCATTTTTTAGAGTAGCCTTGAAGGTAGCCTATGTAACTTTTTTTGAAAAAAAAAAATAACTAAATTTAAAAAAAATGATTCAATACATCATAAATCCCTCTTCCAAAACATGTTTTGTCTTACACTGATTCACTGTGGTAAGAGATTATATTTTAGAACGTGTGGAATGCTTTTCGCAGAAAATACGTCACTCGTCCGTGTGTGTCTTGTCATTTCCAGAAAAGTTCCTCCAGTTACTTTGACTCATTTATTATTTTATTAAACAAGTGGTAATTTTTAAATCATCCAAACATGAAAATAACCACAATATATTTAATTTCACTGTAGTAATAATAATTAGAAGTAATTATGATGCAATAATAATTTTATATGATGGACAAAAAAATAAACTTTAAGATTCTTCAGAATATCTTTCCAATATCTTCTTGTATGTTCCATAGAAGAAAGAAATCCATACAGATTTGGAACAAAATGAATTTTTGTGTTTGGGTGAACTATAAACAAGGAATATTAATTTCAGTCAAATTTAGTAAATAAGTAGAGGTCTCATATTTCTCACTCTTTTTTTTTTTAACTTGATGAGAAAAAAATGATCAGGGTAAAGATGAAAGCTTTGAGAGCAAAAAACAGATTTAATCCATTAATTCATCTCTGTGAGGATGAATTGCCCCGTTGAAGTGCAGCACTTCTTTCATTATTTGATCTGGAGCACAAAGGTGTCTGTATGGGGTTTAGAGCCGAGCAGCAGTATAAAGCATAAGATCTTTTCATTTCACCTACATCGAGTCTAACAACCGAGTAATGTGGTGAAATAGTGAATGCACTGATCTGATTATATTACCCATGTCTCATAGTTAAAAAACAGACTTTCATTTGCCCATAGAAACCAATGTAGACTAACTAAAATAAATGTATTTATTTTACGATTTTATGACCAATGCACATTTACACTCTAAAAATGCTGTATTGTTTTAACCCAACTTTGGGTCAAATATGGACAAACCCAAACGTTGGGTTAAAAATGTATTATTAAAAATTTAACCCAATGGCTGGATTAGTCCATTTTCGACCCAAAATTGGGTTAAAACAACACAGCAATTTTTAGATGATTTTCTGTGTCTGTAAAGGAAGTTGCATTTTAACATCAACCCATTTTTGAATTGCTTTTCATTAAATATTTATTTATTAATATTTTATTCATTTATGAAATGAGCAAATAGTAATGACGAATGCTTTGAATGAGAGAAAAAAAGTACTAAGGGACAGAATTTTAAAGTGACCATCTAATGGAAACTCATTTATATTATTCACAATAAACGAAAGAGACTTATAATACAAACAAAGTACAGTTTACAAACAAAACACAACAAATCCCAGTTATTTGATAAATATTAAAATATTATATAATATTAAAAATAAAACGAAATGGTTGATCAATGTTTCAACATGTGATGCTAATACCACTTTTTACTTTCCTTTTTTCTGCACTTTTGCTAAATTAGCATTTTAATAAAAGCTTCTCAAAGACGTGGATAATTACGCTTGAGGCTTGATATTTCTCACTCAATTTTGTAAGTTAACAATAAATAGGTGGGGGCAAAGATGAAAGCTGCGAGAGCAAAAAGCAGAGATTCGATCCATTAATTCATCTCTTTCTGTGAGGATGAATTGGCCCGTTGAAGTGCAGGACCTCTTTCATTATTTGATCTAGAACACAAAAGGTTGAGAGCCCAGACCAATGGTATAGAGCACCATCTCCAAACAAGATCTTTTCAATTCACTTACATGCTCAACAGCAGAGAAATGGGCCGAAATAGTGGATGCATTGGTTTGATTATATTCAGTTCAAAACACCGCTCCTACATAAGAAAGAGGTCCTTCAAATGAACCCACACGCAAAGAGGAACAGTCCTGAATATGGAAACCTCCCTCAAACATGAACAAAACATTTTTAGGACTTTTAGACCAACAAGGCATTCAGATTTCATGTTGCTGTTTAAGACAGTTTCTTAATATCTGATTGGTTTTCAGAAATAAATGTTTCTCTCTCTGACAATGACTGCCCCCTGTGGTCTGACATCATTTAAATTAAATTTTGGTCAGAGAAACAAAAATTGATATAGTATATTGCAATGTATTAGGCCACAATGACAGCTGAACAGCAGGTGGGCTTACAATATTATTACATTAGATTTCAAGAAATAAATACAATAATTATGCATAATAAAATATTTAAAATTTGGACAGTTCATAATTTGATTTCTAATTTATAAACAGGTTCATAAAACCACATATCCAATGGAAAATAATAATAACCAGATCGCTAATACTTTGTCACATTCTGTCCTGGCAAGAAAATCCTATCCTAATAAATCAATAATATTTTTATTTTAAAGAAATTGAATACTTTTATTATTTTATTCACCAAGGATGCATTGAAACACATTCAAAGTTACAGCAACCACATTTGTAATGTTTAATATTAAATTAAAAATTAATTGTTCAAATAGATTTCTATTTTAAATAAATACTTTGACCTGTCTATGATAAAAAAAATACCATGGTTTGCACAAAAACATGAAAAAGCACAACTGTTTTCAGCATTGATAATAATAATATTGTTTCTTGCGCCATCAAATCATATTAAAATGATTACTGAAGGATCATGTGACACTGAAGACCGGAGTAATGATTCATTCACAGGAATAAATTACATTTTAAAATATATTACAATAAAAAATCGTTATTTTAAATTGTAATATACAGTATATCTCACACACACACACACATATACTGTATTTTTAGTCAAATAAATTAGCTCACAACTTTTCTAAAGCATAAAAAGTCTTACCAACCCCAAACTTGTAAATAGTACTGTATATAAAGAAGTCCTTCATTGTTTTCACAGTTAACTGCCAATCATTGGCTGTATAGTCAATACTATATTCCTACAATACCGGGGGCTGGCATATAGGACCCTTGTTTTTGTGCAACTGTGCCGCAATTCTACTCCAACAGCAGAGACCTGACTTACACAACAAACGCAACGACTAGACCCACGGACACTATAGCATTTCTATTTGTCCACATTATTTTTAATGAATGAGCAGGCGCGGGCATTTTAAATGTGAATGTTAAAGGCTTTAGTTGTCAGGCACCTCCAGTTGTTATAAACTGGTATTTGTTTTCATATTGTTTTAATTTATTAATAATAAACACACACACCAGACTAGAAGCACCACGCCATATGCGGCTAATAAAAAGGAAGTCTTCTTTCATACATACACAAAAAATATCTTTCTTCCGTGTTAAAAAATAAGATAATTCTTTCTATCAAAACTGAAGGAGCCTAGGGAGGGACGAGAGACAGCGTTAAATTTCTTTGTGTCTCAACGACGCACGTAACATTACAATAATAGCGCATGTAAACGACTTACAGAGCTCTTGTACCACCTAACTGCTGCAGATTCATTTCACCGTTGATTGTGTCGAACCGAACGCAATGATTGGACGAACATTATTTGGTCCTGACCTGAGGCATCCACAGTAGAAAAACCTACGCTATCTCACGACCAATTCGTACGAATTCGTACAAGTGATTGAAAAGTGGCTAATTCATACTAATTCATACGACCTCACTCGTACGAATTCGTACGATTTGTCCAAACCCACGTGATGGGTAGGTTTAGGGGTGGGGTCAGGGGTAGCTCATTCGTACGAATTCATACGAATTGGCCAATTCCTAAAATACGTACGATTTAGCAAAAATCATACTAATTCGTCCGAGTGAGGTCGTACAAATTCTTACGAATTAGCCACCTCGTAAAATTCGTACGAATTTTCGTGAGATCGGGTTGGAAAAACCTACCCTGCCCTACCTTTAAATATAAATAATTAAAAAACTAAACCATTTCTGAAATGTATTAATATAAATTGAACAGTATAAACTGCTAGTACATACAAAAAACGGGTCCTGGGACTGTGGTCCTACTGCAGCCTCCTATTGCAGGGAGACTCTGTTTACTCGCTGATGTCTGTGGCACTTGCTGTCAGGCTGTTGGGTGTGTCTGGATAGTGAGCCGATATTGACACAACTTCACTTCCAGCAGAACAAGGACCTTCCTTTGGTAAAGAAAGCTGAAAACCAAATCCAAACAAAGAACAACGCATTGTTAGTACACTGTAAAAAAAAATTATTTTCAAGATTTGTTATCACAACATTTTTTCTTTTGTCAAATCAACTTAAATAATTTATTTAGTTGAGATAACTTATTATTTCGAGTTTCTGATGATTAAATTAATCTCCTTCATTGTATTAACTCACTTTTTTTCCAGTTCAATCAACTTAAAATTTTAAGGCAACCAGGTTACTTAATTTTTTAAGTAAAAACAACAATATTTTTTTTAATCTTTTGTGTATCCTGATATTTACCAATTGCTGGTATGATCTGTAATCAGCATTCTTTTGCAGAATAAAGTCGGTTAGTAGTTTCCATGGGGGGAAATGTGTCATCATGTCACTGTCCTGGCTCTCGGGACTGGCCAGCATTAGATCCTCTGAAACCTTTTCATCGAGACCAAACAACAAACACCATTTCAGTTTTGTACTGCGACTGTTTAAGCTAAAGGCATTGGTAGACCTTAGGATCAGTCATAGAACCGAGCCCGCTGTGTGTACCTGCTCACTTGCCGGACGGCCCTCGAGCTGCGTCTGTGTGGGTCTCATCATCACACTTCTTTTCTTATCTTTGCATCGCTTGTTCTGGAACCAGACGCGAATGACCCGAGGACTGAGGCCCGTCATTTCCACGAGCTGCTCTTTCATGAGGGCGTCGGGTCTGGGGTTGGCACTGTAACAGGTCTGGAGCATGCGGAGCTGGGACTCGCTGAGAACCGTCCGGACGCGAGTGGCTCTCTCTGACCTCGAGGACCAGGGTGCTGAGGATGTCATGTCCTCTGTGATAAACACATATAACGAGACGATTTATCGACATCACTAATAACATCTAAAGTAGTGCTAAATGGCTGTAAAAAGGTTAACAAAAACTGTACATTAAAACAACATTACAGTAGCCCATGCAGCTAACGGGGAACGTTCTGGACAGGTTCTCACAAAGTTATGAGCAGACGTTCTTCCAGTAATATAAATAAAATGTTCGTTCAAAGTTATCTGGGCTTTAATGATGTTCTCAAAACGTCAGCTCAAAAACATTATTTACACACACCAATCATGAAAGGTTTCTTTTTTTCTCATTTTTTCAATGTTGTTTCAGATTCTTTTTAGAAATTTCAAAAGTAGCATTCCCATTCATAATGTTCCCATTCAAAATTGTAAAATTGAATGTTTCCTTAAAGGGATAGTTGACTTAAAAATGAAAATTCTGTCATCATTTACTCACCAAGTTCAAGTTTCAAACCTGTGTGAATTTCTCACTTCTGCTGAACACAAAGGAAATTATTTTTAAGAATGTCATTAATTGACTGTAGCCATTGACTTCCATAGGAAAAATCAAATATAGAAGTCAATGGAAGCAAACTGTTTGGTTACAGACATTCTTCAAAATATCTTCTTTTGTCTTTTGCAGATTTGGAACAACATATGGGTTAGTAAATGATGACAGAATTATCATATCAGGTGACTTATTCCTTATATTGGAACATTAGCAAAATTATATTTTTGTCAGCTGGGATCAACATTGATTCAATTTCCAAATGAAATTCAACAGTTATTCAACCTTGAGGTATGATATAGATTCACCATGGATAAATCATTTAAATGCTGGCTGAGCTTGTCCGGAAACTCTATAGACTTACCAGATGGATCAGCAGTCTCCTTCTGTTGGTTATTTGATGCACACTTTAATTGGTTAAAACACTCATGATGGTCTATACAGAGCAGTTGACCGTCCCGCAGAACATACTCATCTCCAGGGAGTAACGGACGATTGCAGCTCTCGCATCGAAAACACTGGATGTGATAAATATTCACTCGTGTTCGCATGACATACTCCTCTCTGACGAAGGCTTTGTGGCATCCTGCACATTTACTGCTGCATAATCTGATAGAGAATATAGGGGGATTTATCATGTAAAATAGCACTTTACTATACATAGTGTGTGTATATATATATAGATTTCACAAATGTAATTGTATGCATAGTACATTGTATAGTAAAAAGGCAATTTACTATATTGTATATATATTTCACAAATGTATATGTAAATGTATGTATCAAAATTGCTGAATGAAATATTTTCTTTTTTGGATTTTTTTTTTTTCCAACACATTTTAAAAGTTTAAAAAGGTTTTTAAAAAATCCTTTCAATTCATTGTACCTTATTTAGTTAGAAAACTCAGTCACACTTTATTAAGTGCGTCTTTATACTTAATTTTGTTTTTAATGTAAGACATTGCTTGGTCATGTTTTGTATGTTTTGTGTTCATTACAAAACACTTGCTATTGAGGTGGGACACGAATAAGGTTAGGGTATGGTTTGATGGTACATGGGTTGGTTGGAAGGTGGGTACGGGTAGGATAAGTTGAAAGACAAGGGCCAACATGTTTACTGTAAAAAAGTTTGTTCTTTAAAATTTTAAGTTCAATCAACTCAGATGTTTAAGTAATTTTCAACTTAAATTACATTAAACTGACTTTAAAAAATGTCTTAAAAAATTCTAAACATTTTGCGATGAGTTAAAGCAATGTAAAAAAAAAACATTTCGTAATTTATTGATCATATAACTTATTGAAAATATATAATTTTATTATTTAAAGTGCCACAGCCAGGTTTTTTATTTTATATATATATATTTTTTATAGCCTATGTAAAATCGTATCGTAGGCTACTCAACAAGTGCATTGTAGGTAGGCTATCAACTGATTAATTTAAATGTTATAGTTAAAGACAAGTGGCACAGGTATAGTTTGTTACAGCCTACCTGTGGTCTTTACAGAAGGTTTTCCCGTTTCTGATGAAGCAGGTGCGAGACTCGTCCAGATACTGGTGGCACTCCGCGCACCTCAGACACTGCGCGTGCCACTCCAGATCAGGAGAAACCCGCAGGATGAAGCGATCCAGGATCTGATGCCCACAACCCACGCAGGATGAAATCAGCTCATTTCCTTTAATAACAATTATAAGCCTAGATTATATATATTTGTAATCTTTTAATTGTGGTGACATTTCAAAATACAAATACGCATCTCTTCTTACGCTAGCTCATAATTAAGTTGAACTTTTGAATGACAACTTACTGTTCTGTGGATGTCCCATCACGTCAGGAAGCAAATGTAACAGCGCCGTTATCTTCTAGCCTAGCCTATTAAACACTAAAGAAAATGAACTACACATGATCTACAGGGCCACTAATGTAAGTCTGGCTCGCTCCTCTTTATTTATTTGATGTGACGTAGTTGGCAGGAGGTGCTCACCCCGCCACCGGAATCCCCGCCCTCTAACACTTAGACACGCCCACAACAGGTACAACACATCAGGTTGGTACCTGATGATGTTCTAGGCTAAAAATAGCCTAGAACATCATCAGGTACCAACCTGATGTGTTGTACCTGTTAATAAAAGTATAGAGGATAATTACTTACAACAATTACATTTCATGGGCTTTATAACTAAAATATTGACATAAGGAAAACTGAGCCTATTAGCCGTCATTGTAAGCATTATATTTGCATTTCCAAATGTCACTTCTTAAAGGGTTAGTTCACCCAAAAATGAAAATTCTGTCAGTATTTACTCACCCTCATGTTGTTCAAAACCTCTGTGTTTATTTGTTCTGCTGAACACAAAAGGAGGATATTTGGAAGAATGTTTTAATCAGATCTCATTCCCTATTGACACCACAGTAGGGAAAAATACATAGGCCTACTCACTGTAAAAAAAATATTGTTGGTTTAACTCAAAAAATTAAGTAACCTGGTTGCCTTAAAATTTAAGTTCCTTGAAATAGAAAAATTGAGTTAATTCAACGAAGGAGATTGATTTAATCATCTGAAACTCAAAATATTATGTTATCTGAACCAAATAAATTAAGTTGATTTGACAAAATAAAAATATGTTGTGATTACAAATCATGAACATATTTTTTTTTTTTACGAAAATTTCATTGATTTCTATAAGCCTAATTTTAAGGATGGCAATACAAAAATGGGTTCCAAGATAGTCGAAACACTGTTTAATTAATTTGGTCATAAAACAGAAAATATTTTACAATGATGAAAAAATATTTTCAAGATTTGTTATCACAACATTTTTTCTTTTGTCAAATCAACCTAAATAATTTATTTAGTTGAGATAACTTATTATTTTGAATTTCAGATGATTAAATTAATCTCCTCCTTCATTGTATTAACTCACTTTTTCCAGTTCAATCAACTGAAAATTTTAAGGCAACCAGGTTACTTACTTTTTTAAGCTAAACCAACAGTATTTTTTACAGTGAATGATCTATAAACATGAATTTGTCACTCACAGAAATAGAATCAGGGAGCGTCTTCGACCAAACGTTCACGCAGACGTCACATTACATGCGTCATTGCGTCATCAACGTCCGCCATATTGAATAAGGAAATAAGAGTGGAAGAGGTGAAACGTCCCGGATGCATGTAAACATCCACGTCAACAGAAAGTATATTAATGAAACAGTTATAGGGGCACGGAGCAGCGTGAATATAGACATTGCCTGTCGGATGTATAATTAAAAGACTGTTAAACACACTGGTGTTTTAGGCTTCTGCAAAACAATGACTTCGCTAACGCAGAGAAGCTCGGGCCTGGTGCAGAGACGGACCGAGGCCTCGCGTAACGCCGCCGCCGCGGATAAAGAGAAAATCCCCGGAGAGGATGAGGACGAGTCCCGTCGCGGAGAGGAGGAGGATGAAGACAAGGGAGACTCCAAAGAAACACGGCTGACTTTGATGGAAGAGGTGTTACTGCTCGGACTGAAGGATCGAGAGGTTCGACGTGACTTTTGTGGCTTTGTTAGTCAAATGGTCTCCAGAGGAAGCGGCTAACGTTAGTTAACATGGATTAAGTTAGATAAATCCTGTTAAACGACACAGATTAACTGTCTTAAAAACAGCTGTTTCTGGAGACCTTCACCATTTAGCCTGTTAGGAGGGTCCCAGTCGTGCTTTTTCGAGTAAAATATAGCTAGAAAGCATATGTCTCTAAGTGTTCTGTCGTAGGCTAAATGTGAATTATGTAACTCTTTATAACTATCCTGCACATAACAGTTCCAGCAATAGGCAATTTTTGTTGTCATATAAAATGAATGCCGTCCGAACCATTTATGTATTTTCATGTGTGTTATCTGCCGATGTTGTTCTTAGAAGAATAACGTTATTTGAATAACTTCTGTCTTGCTCAGGGTTACACGTCATTCTGGAATGATTGCATATCTTCTGGTCTGAGAGGATGTATGCTTATTGAGCTGGCCATAAGAGGACGCCTGCAACTGGAGGCATCTGGAATGAGGAGGAAAAGCCTTCTGTCCAGAAAGGTGTGTGTGATTTAAAAAATATATCAGTAATTTATTATTTAATTAATGCTATTTACACTTCATCTTGAGTCATTGATCGTTCATCAGGTTTTGTGTAAATCTGATGCCCCCACTGGAGACATGTTGCTGGATGAGGCATTGAAACATATTAAAGAGACTCAACCTCCAGAAACAGTCCAGAGCTGGGTTGAATTGTTAAGTGGTGAGTTGTGAATATATTTGGCACATGTACAAGTATGTTATTTATTCACACTTCCAAACCTGTATGACTTGCTTTCTTCCATGAAATACAAAGATATTTCTAAAAATGTTTCATTGGGAATTCTTTTTTTTTTTTTTACCATAAAATGAAAGTCTTTTGTTTAATCAAAAAAGTTGGAATGTTCTTCATAAACTTTTGGAATGATGTAAATTATGGCTTAATTACTTCTTTTTTTTTTTTTTTGCCTTAAAATCAGTGTGAAACATTGCAAACAATTTTACTTCTGTGTTCTGATTCATTTCATGAAACAGAACATAAAAAATAAAGCAAAAAAGTGAGGTTAGGGATATTCATTTAGTTTTGTTTGTTTTGTCCTAACCGACAACCGAAACTTGTTAGTTTGTTAAAGTGTGTCCGACAAGAAAATCGATAAGTTTGTTAAATTTAATTAGAATGGTTAAGTGTGTATGACTCATTAAAAATAACAAACTTTGTTTTCCAGGGTTTAGTTTTACATGTGCAAATAGCAGAATAAACAACAGAACATGAGGATTCATCATCACATCATGCACCTGCAGCGGTTCAGTGAACAGAGAATATAAGCATATTTATAAAAGGAATAAATACGTAAAATAGATTTCACGTAAATATTAACAAAATAAAAGAAAAAACGGTGACGAGTAGGAGCCTAAATGATGAGTCTTGGTTAATTTTTGTGACTCGCTCCAAAAACAAGGAAACCGAGACGGCACAAAGCGCATCCTGTTTGTTTTCTTTAATTTACAAAAGCACAATGTTTTTTCTTATTTTTATTGTGAGTGTACAGAAATAAATGTAAACAGTTTCTAATGATGTCTTACTCTTATCTGCATTATTATAAAGCGAGTTTTTTGAGTTGTTTCGGTTGTGATCGAGCCAGCACCTCATAACACATAAACGTAGACAGACTTAACACGTCAGCTCTTACAAACATCACAGCCAAAATAAAATACATGGAATGTATTAACTTGTTACACGTTATGAAACAACATAATCAAAATAAAATACAGGCAAACCAAATGACTGTATTTTAACATAATCAAAATAAAATACAGGCAAACCAAATGACTGTATTTTATTTTAAATACAGTCATTTGGACTGTATTAAACGAGTTACACTGCTCAGTTTGTTTGCCAAACACATTTCTGCTCATGTGAAGAATTTAAAAGTACAGAGCCGCATTTACATAATAAATAATAGTTTAGCATCCAAATACATTACGAATGTGGAAACATCTGGATTTGTATTGGCTATATGAGCCCAACATCGGTTTCTGTTTTCCGATCGCACCCGCTTTTAATTAATACATTTTGGCTGGATGTTTATAAAAACTTTTACTGTTCATTTTTGTTCTCTTCGAAATACCATTAAATTTAAACATTTTCAAAATATCTTGATAAATTGCCTTTAACAAATAGTAATTATCTAAAAATTCTTAATGTCGGTTAACCAGTTAATTATGAGCATCCCTACTTGATTTTATCTGCTGGGAATTAATTGGTTCATCAAAAGTGGGTGTTGCATAACAGAATGAAGCCCAATGGTTGGAGGAAATAAGAGGAATTTGTGGCACCATCCAAAATGAAAGGTTACAATTTTAGTATAGTGGGCTATTTTAGATGTCATGTTGACTTAAAGCTTTGTGGATTCAAATATGCTACAAACAGCCAAAAGTACTACTAGAATTGGATCATTTCAATTCTAGTCAATTTCAAAGGCCCTTTTTATATTCTTTAGGTGAAACTTGGAACCCGTTGAAGCTGCACTACCAGTTGCGAAATGTCCGAGAGCGTTTGGCTAAGAACTTGGTGGAGAAGGGCGTCCTCACCACGGAGAAGCAAAACTTCCTGCTTTTCGACATGACCACCCACCCGCTCACCAACAACAACATCAAACAGCGGCTGGTGCGCAAAGTCCAGGAGGCCGTCCTGGAGAAATGGGTCAACGAGCCCCAACGGATGGATAAGCGTCTGCTGGCTCTGCTGTTCCTGGCCCATTCCTCTGATGTTCTAGAGAACGCCTTCGCTCCTCTGCTGGACGACCAGTACGACCTGGCCATGAAGAGGGTGCGGCTGCTCCTGGATCTCGAGCCGGAGGCCGAGGCTGCCAAGTCGGGCGCCAACGAGCTGCTGTGGGCGGTGGTGGCCGCTTTCACCAAATGAACCTCCAGAGTAGAGAGAAAGGGACTCCACTTTGTGCTCATGGCAATGGACTCAGACCACTGGCCCCAAGCTTGGTTGATTCAGACTGATATTGGTGATGGTTATGATGGAAATACAATTTTTGAAGGAGATGATGATGACTCTTGGAAAGGGACGGCTTTTTCTCATTGTCACAGATCTGACTCTGACCTTCACAAAGGTGTTGCCCTGTCTACGTCTAATGGCCAATAGTTGCTACATGATTGCAATTCACTGTGAGGCTTCTTGTAGTTCATGCACTTAGATCATAAAGTTCATGTAAGAACGAAAATGAGCGCATTGAAGGAGGTGTTTTGTAAAGGGTCTGTTTCCCTGTACTAAACTAGGCTGTGACTCTAATCCTAATCCAGATCCTGGTATAATTCTACAGTAATCTCAATCTCCATGTATCTTTGAATAAGGAGCCACTACTTCCGAATACACAGGCTTGATGATCCTTGTCAAGGTTTCACTTGCTTTTCCATATTCAGCAGGAAATGTTCCTTGAGGTTCTGATATCTGAATTAGAGGTTCTGGGTCTTGAATTAACAGAAAATAAACCATTTCACATTTAAAAAGACTGAAACGCAAGCATCAGTTTTTCTCCGGTGCTTCAAAGATTATATGACCCTTATTCCTTGCAAGTCTTCTTTCCAGAAATCCACTCTTTCTGAATGCTCGAAGAATAAAATGTTCAAATGTGTGCTAATAATGTTGGTTTAAATTCAAAGTCAATGTGCTGGTGATTCTCAACAGCCTGTGTATAAAGTGACTAAAACCTGATGGTGATTGTTCCTTTTACTCATAGCCTTTTTTTGTTTAGCTGTTCAGGAAATCCAGTTCATCTATTCAGCCTAAGATTCACAGCTGTGTTAATTCAATCTTACGATGGGTCTTGGACTTTAACACCCCACCAACAGGTCAAGCGAGCATTGAGCTCACGTAGATCCCAAGTCAAACATCTGGCTTTAAGTTGCCTCATAACATTCATCCATTTCATGCAAATGCCAGTCAAACACTAGCAGAGCCCAGAGGCCTGTCCTTAGTGATCACTGCATTGATGTAGCCGTCTCGTCTCACATGTATGGGTTCATTCATGTCGTAATATCTCCTCTCGCTATATTTCCAATTTTTATACTGTGTTTTTAATCATTTTTATTTTGTTCCTTCTTTTAGCTGTTAGCAGAATATTTGCTGGAGTCAATTGTCATATTTTTGGTTGTCTTCTGTCCTGAAAGAGGACTGGTAATGAACGGGGTATGGATATGCCCTTCCGGTGAAAGAAGCAGGTGTTTGACATGTTAGTAAAAAATACTTAATGAGCTGTAAAAAAAATAGAGATGGTGTGAAATGGATGCCCTGATTTGTACATCTGCTTTTTATCATATAATAAAGGAATATCTTTAAGTGCCTGAAAGGGATATGAATATTAGCTGTCCTCGTTCTTGTAAGTTTATGTACATTGCACTTTAGTGCTGTGACTGTATGTTCTGGTGTAATGATGCAGTCAAATCTGGTTTGTTGTATGTGGAATGCACTGAACACGTATATAGGGGATTACCATGGTATGATGATGCATAAAAGAACACGAGACCATAACCTCAAGAATGCTTATGCTTGAGCGGGGTTTCCTCTAAACGCATCATGTGAACAAGTTCAACCAGTTCAGTAAGTGAATGTTGATTCAGAAACCGGTATTTTTTAGGTTCAGTATTATTTTCACTTATCTAATTTTTTTTCTTCAAAGAACTGGTTTATTAGAGTCAGTCTTTCAGGAATCAAATTCACTTGAACACTGGTTGTGCTCAATGTTTTAATTCACTGAAATGATTTGTTCATCACACTACTCTGGGGTGAGTTTCCCTACATCATCATCGTTAGCCAGCTATGGTCTCAAGTTCTGTTGGTCTTCGGGAAACGCACCTGGTTTTGCTGTATGTTCTTGATTCACTATAAATGGCCGTTTGTTTGTGAGCAGACTTTACTCACTGGTTGCTCAGCATATTTTTTGATTCACTTTTACAGCTACACTAAGTAACTTTTCTTCTGTGGTCGCCCTACAGGTTGAAAGCGGAATTGTCCATTACTGCCGTCGTAAATAATTTAGCCTGTTTATCCAGCGCCGGCTTTGGAATCATGATGGCAATTCAAAAGCTACCCGGCTGCAATCTACTTGTAATCTACTGTCGAGTACGCTCCACCTATCTATCGGCAATTGTATTGCTTGCCGAAAAGCAAAAAAAGTCAAATTTGTAGTTTTCTTCTGTCTCATTCAGAATACAGAAAAGCGACCCTATCTGGCAATCTTAAATAGCGTGGATATATCAGATATAGGAACGCAAAGCGGTGGCATAAGTGCATTTCACCATGTCACGACTTGATGAACCACTTAAAGGTGCAATACCTAAGATTTTTGCATTAAAATATCCCAAAATCACAAGGCCAGTGTTATATATTTAGTAAAGATGATAACTCACAATATTCCAAATGTTTCAAACAATGTTTAAATCGCGAGAAAATTGAGATTTAACCAAAGGAAACGGCACGTGTCAGCAGGGGTGAGCTGGGAGTCGCGAGTCAATCGCGTCATATCCGCTTACCTCGGTTTCCGCTTTACTACGTGTAGTCCTGGACAAAATGCGGTAGTTGTAGTTGTGCGTTAGCGCCTATCAAACGGCAGCTTGTTTCGCGCATTTGTTATGGAATGGAGCACATATATTCTTTTCATTTATTCTCGGAATGTGAACTGTTGGCTGTAAAAGGGGGTCGCACACCGGACGAGAAGCCGCGTCACGTTTAGGACAACTCCAGTAACGTTATCGAACACCGGACGCGCACTTTCTCATCAGTGTATGGCCAGCAATATTGTTATGTTTAATGACAGAAAATGAAGATAATGTCTGTTCTATGTTATTGTACTGTACAATTAAATACAATCGTTGCTGAGTCTGCATTCTGAAAACTTTACCTCAGAGCATCCGTTCACAGAATGAATTGAGAATCTCACGTGAAAAATCTAATAATAATCAGTAATTGTCATTCAAGCAGCTGATTTCTGTAAATGACTGCAAAACTAAATGCATAGAATTGCAGCAATAGGCAAAGTCAGGATCCATTAGCAACGGTTTGAGGCAAAAATAATTACAATTTTATATAAAACTATGTAAATGGCGCTCTGTGGCGCAGCAGGGTTTGAACACGGTCCTGAAACGTTGCTGGGCGCCGCGGACAGACGCCGAATGCGCCGCCGGTATGTGTACACTTATAGATAATAATGTGTTCGAATAATTATGTGGTGCAACGCGGCGCTGCAGCTTCTCGTCCGGTGTGCGACCCCCTTAACGTTAATTTTGTGAAACTGTAGCTGTGGTTGAATACTTACACGACATGAAAAGATGTGTCAAATGTACATTGCAGACATCCCAAGTCTCCCGGATCTCCCGCATATTGATAGCGTTTCCCTGATGCCCGCAAATTAGTTCAAATCTCCGGGATATAATGTTAGAGCGAGACATACTGCGCGCATAACATACAGCGCGCTGCGCGTGCACTGTACAGAGGGAGAGACTTTGCGTTTGTGCCTCGCGAACGCGAAAGTTAGCCTTCCCTCCCCCCCACAATCTTGTTATCGAAATATACCTCCCGGAAATGAATTCTTGCAGGTTGGGATAACTGACATTAAATTGATTTTTTATTTTTATAAAGTTACCAAGGAGGGCCAACCACGTCAACTTCTTGCGAGAGACCTGCCCCTTCAAACCCTCTCCACCATAGCTTCGTCCAGTGACTCGTACAGTAACATCTGTGATAACTAATTTACTTTTAAACCTGACTTTTCTTGCACGGTTATTTCAGTTTAATGAAATACAAGCATGTCATTAAAACGCAACGTTTATAGAAATCGAACTTTACCTCATCCATGACAACTAATTTTCGATTCCCGTCTGACTGATTTATCCACGGTGGAGTTGAAAACAACAGTTCCCATCATTCCGCGTTCCTCCACGGCGTCATCAAGCAAAGCCGTTGCTGTTGTTTTGAATGTAGCGCCCTCTAGCGGCATCTAGATCTTAGGTATTGCACCTTTAAATGATTTTCAAAACATTATTTTAAGGTAAAAAATCTTAGTGTTGCTTTAAAATGGCTCATATCAGTCGCCAACACAATATAATAGCAATTGGTAAGTTTTTTACATTTTGGCGAATTGGTAGCTATTTATATGAATTTGTATGATCTAATTTGTATGTTTTTGTTAAGGGGTGGAGCTTACAGTTTACGTCATATGCTGTAAAATCATTAATTGCATCTAATATCTATTGTTTACATAGTATTTATGTATATGTATATATATATGTATATATTTTTATGTATTATTATTATATATCCGTGTGTGTGTGTGTATACTGTTTATACACACATTTATGCATAGGCTACAGTAGCTTATATGTATATGTAGACATGCACACACAGATATTTAGGCTATATAATAATAATAATAATATATAGCCTACACATATATTATGTAAACACAATTTTTATGTTAGATGCCATTTATCGATTTGGCAGCACTAAAAAATTCATTCAAAATCTCCACCTCATTAAATAGGCATAGTTACATATTCCTGTTATTAAAAAATAAATCTTACAAATAAATTTGAGGAACCAATCATATACATGCAAGCGGTTTATTTTTGTAGTCTTTGTTACATTTCATCAGTTTCAGAAAACACCATAAAACATTAGTCAGAAACAGAAAGTATTAAACATTTCATTTGCATTTACAGGAAGTGGCTTAGCCTACTGTGTGTAGATCTTCTCTGCTATCACATGATAAGTAACGTCATGTTACTGGTCAAATTATAGATTTACACATTACAATTATAGCCAATTTCATTTTTTTTTTTAAAGTTTCATCTAAAAAGTTAGATATTAGCTAAATGCCAATGTTTCACAAGACAACCGAAATTGTACCTCTACAATTAAGTGCTTTAAAAATCTTTGCATTTCGTTAAAATAGTCAACTCCTAAACATGTGTTATCACACATTGTGAATTATTCACCAAAGAATAAGCCAAATACAATTGCAGGACCTCAGAATAAAATATATGTGCTTCATAAAAAAATATGTGGACACATACATTTCTATAGACCAAAATATCAAGCAAGTGGCATAACCAAACTTTTTTTTTTCTTTTAAATCTGGTCTTGGGGTAATTTATCATGGATAAATGAAGTCAGTTCCTCTCAGTATGAAATAGCTACACTTTAGACTAGGCCAAAAAACAAGTGTAGGCTATAAACCAGGACATCCATTTCGCACTAACTCTATTTGTACACATTATTGAGCAGCCTATTAGCCTACTAAATTCAGAATTGTTAGGAAAAGAAGTCCAGTAGTAAACGAGCTCTGCGATTCGACCCGATGAATGAAAACTCCTTCAGTTCAAACCCCCTCAGAGAAACAGCCAAGAGACAAATATGGTCTCAGAATAGCACAGAAATGGTCCACGGTGTTCCTATGTCTTCGCGGGCCATCCTCTCCATGCCTTCGTCCCGGAAGTCCATTCCTGTTCAACTTTTTGTTGTTGTGGTTTTTGGAAGATGACGCACCTCGTCTTCAGAAATGAATCTTCTTCAGATGTCAGGTGTACGTTGGTTCGGATCCCTTCTCTTTCAGCTTTTCCCGTCGTTCTGCATTCTCTGGAGAGCGATTATGAGCACCAGGAACTTGTATTTCCAATCCAAGAGATCTCCAATTTTGCGCAACTGTTGCGCGCACTCGACGACAGCGGCTTGCTCTGTATGGGCAAGAAGTGAAACTCGTTACGTTTCAAGTTGTAATCATATGTATTTTGAAAATAATACTAGTTTTAAACATGTCTTACCTTTCTTCGCCATTTCAGACCTTGAGTGTGTTTTCAGCAATGTTCAGAGACCGAGACTCAGACTGGATGAATGATCAAGCGCTCGTTCCTTCAGAAGCGGCTGACTGCAGTGATAGAACTTCTCTGAATTATTGTTAGAAGCGTCTGCGCTTAAATAGCCTGTGACGCGTAAACAACGTGACCTCCCGTCGACGTGGTATTTGCATGTCCAGTTTCCGTGTTTTTGCATCTACCTGTTCTTACATTGCATCTACCTGTTCTTCATCAGATGAAGGCTGACCCATTGAACTGATAAAATGACCACCTCACGCACTTACATAAGCAGTAGCCTACTGTACATTGTGTACATTGTGAGAACGATAACAGTGAAAGTAACGTCTTCTGAGTCTGTATAGCCTACCCTTGTTTTGTAAATCACTGAACCACAATAACACGATAACATGACCTTATATGGACTATTAAATGGGGAAGATGGGGAAGTTTAAGAACAATGTTTAGCATATAAAATGTAATTTGTAACATTTAGATACGTTTATCATGGAGCATACATGTTAATGCATCACTTAAATAAAAATAAACTAATCTAATTATCGAGACCGCTAAACTTTTACAGAATATGACTTTTAGTATTCTTTTTAATGTTTTTTTAAAGTGTAATTTGTGTAAAATACTACATAAACGATTTTCATTTTAAAATGTGTTGAGACAATTTAGTTGAATAATTGAATAACCAATGACAAAGCTTGCAGAATACCACAAATATTATTTATTAAAGTAAACTTATTTATGCTATGACCTATTTGAATATTTTACATATTGCACATTTTTTTTAATTGAAGTTATATCATATTGCAAGATTATGAATTTAAACTATTGAACTCAATTAGGTTATAATGAATTGCAAACATATCTGAAATGTACATCAAACTCATGGAATTATTGAAGAATAGGTAACACCTTACTATCTTTTTACTTCAAAATAAAAATAATATTTTTACTCCACAAATCTAAAAACATCTATCATTAACAAGACACATATTTTACAAATACAATGTAATAGATCATTATGGTTTTCCAGAGACACAAAATTAAGGTAGGCTAATTTAACCTCAAAACTGTTTCTACTGTCAAAATCTAATGTAGATTTTCAGATGAAATTACATTTAGCTATGTGGCCTATAAAAACATATACGTCTCCTACATTTCCAAAATATGGAGTTTCCCTGGTGAGCTGTCAAAAAGTAGAAATTCCATGATGAGAATATTTCATCCATGCTTTTAGTTTCACTTCTTCAGGCTTGCCTCCCTCCCTCCCTTCTGGACGCTGATTGGTTGGGGTGAGCTGTCATTTCCATTAACTTATCTTATTATCTGTTGCTGTAATAAAAAGAAGCCAACAAATAGTTCATTGTGTTCATTTCTATTAGGAATGTGGCAGTGGCAGTATTTTGTTTTTCTGAGACCTCTCGCGTCATTATCACGTGACGTGTGATAACATTTGGCCTAAGCTTGGAGGAATGAGATTTAAAAGCCTATGTTTAGCCTACAGTAACTTGATGCACACCACCATAATTAAAAGTGGTGAAATTATTTTTCACTACAAATTACGCCATCAGGTTTACTGGGTTTATTATCTCTAAATTAATTACATAAACATTAAATAAGGCCTGTTATTAACACGGCATTCTTTTGTTTATGCTTTTATTACCCTACTAAAATACTACAAAATGATTAACCTGAACACAAGAATGCTGTAAAACTAAAGGTTATTCAAGAGTGTCCAGCAGCTGAGCAGGTTCTTCATGGCAGGGCAGGTGAGATGACGTCACTCTGGTCATCAACATCGACTAATACCATGATTAAAACCATGGACTGTAAAAAAAAAAAAAATATATATATATATATATATATATATATATTAAAACAAATAAAATACATTTATATATTTACTTAAATAATCTACTTATTTTAAATAGGCTACTTATTACATAATTGATTCTAGCCTACACGTATGCATCGTTTCATTGTTAGCCTAAATTTCAAGTGAGCCATATTGCAAAAGAAATCTAAAAGCTTTTATAAAGATGTGGCAATATGGAATTAACAAATGTGTTCTTTAAAACAGAGAAGGGAAAAGCAAAAGTCAACACGGGCTAAAACTAAGAACTTATGCGAATCAGAGTATGCTAGTAGCCTATAGACTGTAAAAAAAAGAGTAGGCTAATAATAAGTAGCCTAATAGTAAGTGTAGCTAATAATAGGCTAACTTGAATGCACGATTAGACCAGTAGCTGTCATTCATAGTAATCAGACAGCAATGATAGTGGTGAAAAGTATAAAAATGTCTAAAACACGTACAGAGAAAGCTAAGTTTACAAATGCCCTTCGGTGCCATAAACGGGATACGTCGTTATAGTTTATGTCAACCAGCAGATGGCGCTGTTTCATAACATAGCCTATTATCCCAGTCATGGAAGACAAAAAGTGTCGGGAAGTTATTTTCACAAACTATAATATTGAATCACTGAGAATCTGGACAAGATGGTAAATTGATACTGGGTTTGCAATTTAGGATTCTTTTTTGTATCTCGATCTTTATTTTCTTACCGAAGTCATGCGTTAACAACCCATGGTGGGTAGGCCTAATCAAGTTTAAAGGGATAGATCACAAACAATGACAAATCTGTCATTTACTCATCCTCGTCTTTCCAAACCTGTATAATCCCGAATACTGCTGTGGTCCGAACAACACTGGACCCCACTGACTTTCATTGCATGGAAAAAAAAAAGTTTTTTTTTGTTTGTTTGTTTTTTTAGCCTACCTTCTTTTGTGTAAGGGTGAGTAAATGATGACAGAATTTTCTAACTGGTCCAAGTTTGTGCATCCTGAACCAGCACCAAACTAGCTACACTATTTTAGCATATATTTATGAATTGCTAAAAATGTTGTAAAAAGAGAAGCATATAGATCTAAAAGCAGTTGTTCTTGTCAATGTACTGATAATGATGCATGATGCTGTTGGATTTGACACCAGATGAACACCTGTCTGGAAGAAGTTGTGTGTTTGTCTGTGTGTGGCATAGTTGTTTTTGCAGACGAGAGATGCTTTACACCAGCAGGATCCAACTGTTGAAAAGCAGCAAAAGGAGCTTTTATAGGTTCTTTCTCAGTATGTGTACTGTGTATACACGCTGCGCTGCATGGGTGGTTTCTTGTACCATCAACAAAATATTGATCATTATTGCTTTTCAAAGTGTGTCATTAGTTGTGGACTATTAAGTTCTTGTTTCAAAGAACATGCCTGATGCCATTTGTATTGAAGTCTGATGACTGTTTGCCTCTTTTGGTTAAAAGAGTTGTACTGACTAAGTGCTAAACAAAGTCTAGTACTGGTTGCTGATTTCGTGGATTTAAGTTTAGACATGTGCGTGTGATCTTACACGTAAAATAAAGACGGAGAGCGTTCATTAATGTTATTATTATCTAGCAATTTATTTTCCTGCATATCATACAGCGGCAATATCTTAACTCATAATATAACATACAACACACCGTATCATTTACCCCAAGCGCAAGACCATGGGCACAGTCGAAAACTGTTTGCTTCTCAATCAGCGACACCTGTGTCTGAGTTACCTCCAAATTAAAAGACTTACACGGGCTGACCCGAGATCAGCTGTGCCACAAAGCACATACAGCCCCCTAGTGGCACAGCACAAAATTGACAAATACAAAGTGAATATGGCTCATACACTCCAGCCCCTAATTGCATCTTTCAGAGCAATTACACCAAATTCAAAAAGAGCCATAAATACAGAAAATATACCCCACTGTGAACCAATTACTCTTTAGCTTCATTAAGCAAGCATATTTTAGTAATGGGTCGTTCAATGATGTTTGTCTTGGTCTTCAAACGAACCACACGTACCAGACCTCTCTTATCAGGGAAGGTTTCCAGGACTCTTCCTAGCATCCATGACCCACGGGGTGCTGTTGAATCCGCAACCATGACCAGATCTCCAGGAACAAAATCCCTTTTTTCTTGGTTCCATTTTTGACACTCTTGTAAAAGCGGTAAGTACTCGCGGATCCACCTCTTCCAAAAGAGATCCGAAATGTACTGGGTTTGTTTCCACCTTCTCCTTGCGTAAATATCCCTTTTGTTGAACAATCCTGGTGGGAGAACTGGTTTTCCTTTGAGTAGTAGCAGATGGTTTGGCGTCAATGCCTCTAGATCGTTGGGATCCTCTGACAGTCTTGTGATGGGGCGATCGTCAAGTATAGATTCAGCCTCACAGAGCACGGTATGGAACCCTTCATCATCTAAGGTTTGCTGCCGGAGCACAGAGCACAAGATCTTCCTAATCATCCGTATCAAGCGCTCCCATGTGCCACCATGATGTGACCCAGTTGGAGGGTTAAAGCTCCACTTAATTCCCTTTTTAGACATGGCTCTTCCAATGCGGTCATGATTCAAAGAGGCTAAGGCTTCTCGCAACTCCCTTTCTGCACCCACAAAGTTGGTACCATTGTCAGATCTTAACTGTGCAACTTGTGCTCTTCGACAGATGAACCGTCGCAATGCGTTGATGCACGAGTCTGTGTCAAGAGAATAGGCCACTTCCAGGTGCACAGCCCTGCTTATCATGCAAGTGAATACTACTCCATACCTTTTCATGATGCTACGCCCTCTTTTTATGTCAACTGGCCCAAAGTAATCTACACCAACGTTAGTAAACGGTGGTAGATCAGGAACAACTCTCTCTTCTGGGAGGTCTGCCATTTTTTGCTCACCAGGTTTTCCACCATGGAGCTTGCAAATGAGGCATTGTGATATGATCTTCCTCACTGCAATAGTTCCACTAGTAATCCAGTATTTTCTCCTTGTAGCGGAAAGAACATGGTTTCTACCTCCATGTCCAAGCTGTAAATGGACATGACGGAGGATAAGATCGGAGATATGTTGGTCCTTGGACAAGATGAGAGGGTGTTTAATGTCCTCAGGGATTGCTGCCCTTTTCAGCCTTCCCCCAACTCGTAGAAGTCCTCCTTCAAGAACCGGATCCAATTTGAGAAGGCTGCTACTTCTCGGCACTTGTGGCTTTCCAGAAATTAGTGCAGCAAATTCTGTGGGGAATCTCTCTCGCTGGCAAAAAGTAATTATGGAGGTCTCAGCCTCCAAGAGATCTTCCAGGGTTACCTTCTGATTCCCAAGCGATGTTGAGAAAG